GCCACATGGAGCAAAATTGGAGTCTGTTTCTGATCATAACGATACACGTGTGTATGTGTGGCTCGATGACCACAACGATCGGGTGTTCCGTGCTGAGAGGCGCCGACCGATATGTGATGTATGTCTTGGGACTGACATAATAGCTTGAGGGAGGGGCGGCTCGCAGGGCAAGACTCCCTTTGGAGGACCAAGACTACCGGACTGGGCTCGGAGGCGTGGACCACTCACCTCAAGCGGCGGGGCTCCATCAGCCGCTGGGACGGCTTCGACCTGACCTGGAGGGATTGGTTTCGATCAGGTGCCCAAAGGGGTGTCGTGTGTGCCGATTGTTTCCGGGGAAGGGTTTCCGGGCCAGACCACCAGAAAAAGCGACTTGTTGTTTTTATTGTTAGCTCTCCCTGTCGCAACACAGACGAGGGGAGGGGTCACAAGTATCGTTCCACTTACGGGAGCACGAGACTTGTCGAATTCCGCGGCCTAGAGGGGGAGGGGTTTCCTTCTGCCGCCGCATGAAGACGCAGATGAAGGTCAGCGTAGCTCTGTCGTGCGAGGATTGGGCGGCAGCAACAAGAGTACAGCCGTGTACCAAAAAAAAAAAAAAAAAAAAGAAAAAAAAAAGAAGAAGAAGAAGAAGAAGAAGAAGAGACGTAGAGAAAGGCTATACTTTGGCGTGAAGTATCCCAGGAGCCCGTCTCCGGGGGTCCAAACCTACGTCGCCGCGGGTGCAACAACAACAGCCCAGCATATGGACAGGAAAAAGAAATGTTGTGGAGGTGTGTGAGGTGAGGCTGCGTGGCCCCGGGCATTGCCAAGGGGGAGGGGGGCAAAAAGTCCAAAGAGCCCAGAAAAAAGGGAAAAAAAAAAAAAAAGGCCTCGACGGCTCCCTCGACGAACCTGGGTATTCCGCGCCCTCAGTCATCCTACCAACCCGGAGTCCTTTGGCAAGAGGTGGTCTTTGTCGCCTCGAGAGGGTTTTCCTACCGTACATGGTGTACATTGATGATCCTCAGGGCGACCTTGCCCTTGGCCATTGGCCGTTGGTCCTTGGCGTCTGGCCAGCTTGCCTGGTGGGCATACCGCTTTGCTGGTGCACTCTGATTGATTGGGTGGGTGCGATGATCAAGGGGCAGGGAAGGGGAAAAAAAAAAAACAGCAGTGACGAGCCACACTCACAAACACACCTACATACGCACCTACACACACACACACACACACACACAGAGAGAGAGAGAGAGAGAGAGAGAGAGAGAGAGACAGACAGACACACAGACACACAAGCGTCCCGGGAGACGCGATGGCCGCGGCGCAAGGGCTGAACCAAGGCGTGTGGAAGAAGCGGGAGGAGGGCTATCACAGCAAAGCACCTGGGATGGCATCTGATGTCGTCGTGACCGCGGTGTCGGGCCCTCCGTTGGAGGAGAGCCGGGACTGCACGCGCCCAAAGCAATTCGCCTCTGCAGCGGCCCTTTAACCGGAACTGGGGTCAGCAAGCAGAACCCTGGCCTGTTTTGTCCGGGATGGTGGGGGAAGAGAAGAGAGGTAGGGGAGCAGCGCTGGCTGCTGCTGCAAGCCTGCAAAGGCGGAGGGACCCAGGACCCAACCCAGGACCCAGTGCAGTGCAGCCAGCGCTTGCAGGTCCCAGGCATGCAGGTGGCCCCACATCCACCATACATGTGGCTTCCTCTGTGCTCCCAACCCTTTCTGGACTTCTGGACCAACCCAAAGTCCATGATCCGTCGCGGAGCCATCCCCACCATCAGCTGCCTCGGAAGCTGCGCCATCCTTTATTGTCCACCCCGAGTCCACGGCTCCATGGCTCCATCATACTACAGTACTGTACATCCGCTTCCCCCCTGACGCCCCCCCACTCGTGTGCATCCGATTTCACTTCGGCACACCACTGCTGCATCGTTGACACCTTTCCGACGACTGGGCCAAACACGAAGCAGCGCAAAGCTGGAGCTGCGAGGTGCCAAGTTTTGATTGACACATCCACACACCTACAAAGTCTCACACATATACATACACACGCACACATACGACAACGAGACCTTGTCAGCAAGGGATCCAGGCAAGGGTCCCAGGACGGCGAGAACGAACACTGTTCTGGTAGGAGGAGGAACAACAACAGCGAACAGCACACCTGCAGTAGTGCAAATACGAGACGGCCTGTGGGCTAGCACCGCAGCTGCCCGCCTGGACTGCTTGCTTCCTTAGCCTCGGGGGTCCTACCACAGTAGTACTATAGTACTGTACGGTAAAACAGCGGCCGCCCAGGAGGCCTACTATGGTGCTACCGAACTACTTACCACTACCGCCACCACCACAGTACTGCTACGGTACCTCAAGTAGGCACCCTATAGTGAGCAGACAACCAATTGACTACTGCGTTATAGTACTTGCAATTGCATGCTCCACGGCGTGTTACCGTTACAAGCCAGTCACCAAAATCGACACTGGCGGCGTCCGACCCCGTCTTGAGCACGCGCACCTCATGTGTATCACCTCGACTGACCCATGGTGTCAAATTTCGAAAGGGAAAAGGGAAAAGGGAAAAGAAGAGAGTGAAGAGCAAGAAGAAGAATAAAAAGAGAGAGGTGGGGGGAAAAATGAGGGCGCACATGCACACAAATGCTCGATCTCGATACGTTAGCTGGGGGCAGGTAGGCGAGTCATTACCGCACCGCACAGTACAAGAAAAAGAACTACACCACTGGCCAGCCGCGGCACGGCTACGCGGGAGTTTCGTCCTCGTTTCGTTGAACCCTCCACAGGTCCAATTCAGGGTCCGACCGGGACACACACGCTTAACAAACAAGCTTCTTCTACTTCTCATTCACACAGGCCAGGCGGGCAGGCAAACAGGCAGGCAGGCAGGCAGGCAGGCAGGCAGGCAGGCAGGCAGGCAAGACGAGGCAGGGCAAGGCAGGCCTTCTCTGGGCCGAAGCAAGGTATTGACGTCCCTGCTAAAGTAAACAACAAGCGGGCGAGCAAGCACACAAGGAATGGCGAGGACGATAGCATACGCGAAAGAAACTCACCAACGGACCAGGACGGGACCAAGTTGAGACACCGAGGCCTTCCTTCTCCCGGTGCCAGACAGAATAGAGTTAAGGAAATCGTTGGAAAGAGTCAAGTGCTTCCTGCAAGCACTCTGTAGAAAGCGTCAAGCGGTGAAGGGGGCAAGGCTGCGAGCTCTGTTTGGCTGCGCGTTCTGTTTGGCTGCATCGCCATCCTCGACGGCAGGGCCCACCGCGTCCCCCAAATGCAAAGCCCGCCGTGGGACGGCTCCGACTTGAGAACCAGTATTCCGGCCATTGAACCTTAACCCTTAAGGAGATCTTGCAGTTTTTGGTCTCAACTCATCGTCTCGACTTTTTTCTTCTTCTTCTTCTTCTTCTTCTCTCTCCTCCGCCTCTCCTCCGTCCCTACCTGGAAGAAGGAGCCGGAAGGGAAAAAAAAGGGTCAATTCAATCCTCGCGGAGATCTGACGCCCGTCTCGTCCTGCACAAACCCTTGGAATTCTGCCAAGCAAAAGAAAGAGGTTATTATTGCTCCGCCTAATTTACGTGTTTCCGGTTCGCTTCAAACGCATATACACATATACGAACCAGTAAACCAACATCATAGACGGACCTGCGCGCCGACAGGCCCCTGCCCTGGACGATTCAACCACACAACAGAGGAGAAGGAAGAGAAGACGAGGACGAGAAGAAGGAAGAAATTCAATTTACAGTGTGCTATGTAGTTGGGGCGGGAGTCACTGTGAGCTCCAGAAAGGACATCAGGAAGAAGAAAAAGAAAAAAAGAAACAAACGGGGGGTAAAAACACCCCAGGTATCCCGACACCCATTATCCAAAGAAAAAGTAATTCTCCATCGATCAATCCATCAACAACGCCTAACAGACCGGAATACGACCCGGACCAACCAACCCCACCACACCTCTTGTTACCTGCCTGCAACTATCTCCAGATGTCATCCACCGGTCCAGCTTCTCCAGCCTGTCTACCTTGATACTCGACCGGGAAGGCCATAAGACTACCTGTACTTTGTACAAGTACCTGGCGGTCCTCAGAACATACATGTACATACCTTGCCTGTCTACTCTTCCAAACCCTGGCAGCTGGTGCCCCACCACAGTTCTAGACTTCAATCTGGCAGCTACTATCCGCTCGCTATCCTGGTACAACATACATTTCATCATTCGTTTGAAATCCTATCCATAATCCCCTTGGTTCCCCATCAATTCACGGACGTCGGTCGGTCAAGGGTTGTGATTTTTGTCTTCATCCTTCCACCCCCCGCCTCTCCTCCACCTTATTTTTTTTATTAAGTTGTGGTTGTTGTTGTTGTCACGATCTCTTCTCTTTCAAGAGGCTCTTCTCTCTCTCTCTCTCTCTCTCTCTCTCTCTCTCTCTCTCTCTCTCTCTCCCCCTCTCTCCCTCTCTCTCTCTCTTCCCCCCTCCCAAGACCTCTTCCGTCCCCTCCTCCATCGGCGATCTCGACAGCTGGACTCAGCCCAGATCGTCGTCGTCCCTCGTTGACTACTACTACTACTACTACTACTACTACTACTACTACTACTACTACTACTACTACTACTACTACTACTACTACTACGTCTACTATTATTACTACTTCTTGCCGACTGTTGTTTTGCCACCGGCTGTCGTGAGTACTAACCAATCCAACCTAACCTGTACCCCACCGTCCGGTGCTATTACTCCTGCAATCGCCGCTTTTAGTATATATTCTGGCCATGGAACCAATCCATTTTACTGACACGAGATCAGGGTCTGCACGACGGCATCGCCACAGAAGACGGGGACCCATGTCTTAGTGCTCCCGAATACTCGTAAGCTTGCCAGAAACCAAATAACCAAGAAAGAAAAAAACCTTTGTCCGCGCAGACGTTGCCAAGACTGGCTTCCCGAAAGAAAGGGGGAAAAAAAAGATGATCTCCAAAAACTCACACTTTCTCTCTTCGGACAGGACACGATGGCTCGAGAGGTCGGCTGGGGCCGCTCGGGCTTTGCCATTGCACAAGCTCTTCTCCTGCAGGCCCAGGTGTTGTATCCCTTCTTCCTCCTACTGGCCTTTGGAGTCATTTTCGCGGTTCATAGTGTGATCGCGTCACGACGACAAGAAGATATTGAGCCCCCCACCGCTACAGGCCCAGGTGGCAAGCCCCTGCCCGTCACCAGGATAAAGGTCGAGAAGTCTGAGGCTCTCGACGCTGCAGCTACAGACTTCTCACCGCGCGCCTCCCTCTGCTTCAAGGCCGGCACTGCTGTGGTTGTGCTCACCTTTGTCGCACATGTGGCACACATTGTCCTTCAGTGTATCCAGGCAGGTTGGTCCAAGACTGACCGGTTCTCCAACGATGAGCTTCTCGTGAGGCCCCCCCCCCCCAAAAAAACCCCCCACACCTTCTTTCCCCTGTTTTCCTCTTGTTCCTTCCCCTGCTGTCTTGTCTGCATGAGCTGAGGGGGCTTGGTGGTTTGAGGCTAATTTTACATGACCATTTTCTTCTTCTTTTTAGGTATACAACCTGGGCGGCATCTTCTTCTGGCAGTACATCGAATTCTCGCTGTTTGGAAAGAAGCTGGACAAGCCGAACCCCATCCACTTCACAGTCTGGTGCATCGGACTTGCATACGAATTGATCCTCCTCCTCCTCGCCTTCCTTGTGGTCCCCAACGGCAGTGGCAGACTTCACAAGTTGACCTCGAATAGCAGCAGCAGCAGCAACAGCCCTCTGGAGCTGCGCGACACCAACTCGAACCGGAAACCAATCCCGGCCGACGCCACATTTCTCTCCGTCTTAGTCATCCGCACCTGCACGCTGACTGGATTGGTCGTCCTCTACGTCTGCCTCCGCGGCCTCACAAGAACATTTCATTGGTCTTCGACGACGGACGCCCTGGCCAGTAGTGCTGACGAAGCTACGCCGCTGCTGAATGGTGGTGGTCATGCGACGGGCCACGAGGCTAACGTCCACGCGCTGGCGAACGGTCATGCGAACGGCGGCGGCGGTGCGGTCAGCTACAGGCCGCAGAGAAGAAGAGCAAGTGATGCTCGCCGTGGCAACGGGATCACCAAGTCTGCTCGCCCTAAGCAGGCCGAGTTTGCCTTCTACCGCCCAGAGAAGCTGCCTCACCGCTCCTGGTGGGAGTACCTGCGTGGCTACCGCGTCTTCTTCCCCTACCTGTGGCCCGCGAACGAACCCAGGCTCCAGCTGCTGGTGCTGGTCTGCTTCATCCTCGTGGTCCTGCAGCGTGCCGTCAACGTCCTGGTACCCATCCGCCTGGGCATCCTGGTCAACGCCCTGGCCGAAGCCTCCAAGACGGGCAGTGCTGCCATGCCGTGGCGGGAGCTCGTCATCTTCCTGAGCCTGAAGCTGATGCAGGGCCCGTCGGCCATCCTCGGCTCTCTCCGCTCCATGCTGTGGATCCCCGTCACCCAGCACTCGTACATCTCGCTGCAGACGGCAGCCTTCGAGCATGTCCACTCGCTCTCGCTGGATTTCCACCTCGGAAAGCGGACCGGCGAGCTGCTATCTGCACTCAACAAGGGCGGCTCCGTCAACCAGTTCCTCGAGCAGACCACCTTCCAGGTAGCCCCGACCCTGCTGGACCTCTTCGTCGCTATCGGCTTCTTCTGGGTCGAATTCGGTCCCATCTATGCCCTCTGCGCCACCATCATCACCTTCTCTTACCTCGTCCTGACCATCAACATGGCGTCGACCAGGGCCGACCAAAGACGCGACATGGTCAACGCCGACAGGGAGGAGGAGGCTGTGAAGAACGACTCCATCACCGCCTACGAGACTGTCAAATACTTCAACGCTGAGCCCTTTGAGTTTACTCGCTACCGAGGTGCTATCAAGACCTTCCAGAACGCCGAGGCGAGGGTCACGGCCGGCATGAACATGATGAACATGTGCCAGACCGTCGTCTTCGTCAGCGGTATGCTGATTGTCATGACCATTGCGGCGTACGAGGTGGTCATTGGGCGCCGCGACATGGCGCAGTTCATCATGGTCATGACATACCTGACCCAGCTGCAGGGGCCGCTCAACTTCTTTGGGTCCTTTTACCGCACAGTCCAGCAGGCCATGATCTCGGGAGAGCGTCTGCTGGAGCTCTTCAAGATTCAGCCCAACATGAACGACAAGCCCGGCGTCCCACCCCTTCAGGACTGCCAGGGACACATCCGGTGGAAGAAGGTGGACTTCGACTACGCCAACAGTCCGGCACTGAGGGATTTGTCTTTCGAATGTCGACCTGGCACTACCACGGCTTTCGTTGGTGAATCGGGGGGCGGCAAATCGACCATTTTCCGTCTCATGTTTCGGTACTACAACACCAAGGAGGGCAACATCGAGATCGATGGCCGAGATGTTAAGGACCTGACCATCGACTCGGTGCGTAAGGCGATCGGTGTCGTGCCCCAGGAGACGATCCTGTTCAACGAGACCATCAGATACAATCTCAAGTACGCCAACCAGGACTGTACCGACGAGGAGATCTTCGAAGCCTGCCGGGCAGCAAGCATCCACGACCGCATCATGTCATTTCCGGATGGCTACGAGACCAAGGTTGGAGAGCGCGGCATGCGTCTCAGTGGTGGCGAGAAGCAGCGCATTTCCATCGCTCGCACCATCTTGAAGAAGCCCAAAATCATTTTGCTGGACGAGGCGACGTCGGCCCTTGATTCCGAGACCGAGCAGCAGATCCAGGGCAAGCTCTTCCAGAACAAGGAGCTGGGCGAGGGCAAGACCATGTTGATCATCGCGTAAGTGGGACCCCTTACTCTTTGTTGCGGTAACACCATTGATCAGCCAATCTGACTTTTTCTTCTCCATGACTGTTTAGGCACCGACTCTCCACCATCACCCATGCGGAGCAGATTCTTGTTCTCCACCGGGGCCGCATCGTCGAACGCGGAACCCACGATGAGCTGATCACTAAAGAAGGCAGGTACTTCGCCATGTGGCAGAAACAAGCCAAGGCTGAAGAGGCCGCCAAAGCTGCGCTTGCAGCCAAGCAGCAGGCTCGGAGGGCTATGCGAGAAGCCCTTCTGTCCGCTGGGAAGGACAGTAGCGATGAACACTCAGACGATGGTAGCGATAGCATCGGCAGCATGTCGACCCACAACCTTCCTTCGGCGCCACCAACTCCAGCTGTTGAGCTGTCTGGCCTCAGCATGATCACCCGCGAGCAATGACCCGGCTTTTTTCTTCTGCCTCACCACAACAAATCCTCTCGACTGTTTTCATTGTACAAATGCGCGATGTTGCATACCATAGACGAGCCGCATAATACCCTGAGTCGACCAAGACTCAACTTGCGATTCGGATCTCACGTCTCTCAACCCAGTTCTGTTTTCTATGCATCGGCGGCGTTTGGCGGCATTTACCATCAAAGGGCCAGACACCCATTAGAGGCTCTAGGAGTTCAGGGGGGTGTCTTTCCAAGGGACAAAGAAGACTGACTGACCCAGCCGATGGCTTGCCTTGTTTTTCCTTTCTTTCTTTTTTCCCCCCTTTGAAACAATTTGCGGATCACACAGAATGAGTTTCTCGAGGATTCACACGGCCGCGCTTTCATGAGAATGGCGTTTATTGTTTCGGGACGTACTGGTCACGCCTGTGGAAAGGGGAGAGGAAATCATTAATGCGTCTTTGAAGATACCTACACACCGGACTTTCCGGTTCATTTCAACTTCTTCTCTCCTTTCGGATGACCAGCGATTGTTTTTCATGCCCTTCCTTTTTCGACTTGGGGACTCTCGGATAGCGAGAGGGCTTAATATCTTCTCTTTTCATGTTTTTTTTCCCCCACAAGCTCTCATCTAAAATTTGTGTTCTTATTTTGAGACTGGTCTTGGTTGTATCCTTATTTTTTCTGTTCTGCCTCTAATCCTTGTCCCCCCTCATTTTTTCCTCCCTTTGCCTCCTTGTTACGGGTCGTGGTTCATGTTTTGAGGGGCAACTATGAGAATGATTCCAGCAGCACTTTTGATATGATCATTAATGGGTTAACGAAACTTATGCTGCCCCTCCCCCCACCTTTACCTAACGATGAGGCACCAGCATTTTCAGAGGGGTTCTCAAAAGAAAAACCAAGGCAGATGTGTTTTTGTGTGTTAATTTTTTATTTTTTTTTCGTATTTGATGATGGTTGTTGCTACAGCTCAGCGCACATCATGGTATCCAGTACTTATCTTAGACCCTTGGGATTCCATGTCGGACTCTCCGTCTTGCAGATACCGACAGCAGCAGGCAAGAAGGCAAATGACGAGTATGTTTTATGCGTCGGAATTCGTGCACCAAATGTCTTGACTTGGCCGTCCGTATGTGCGCCCCGTTGAAGGTCTGTTAACCAATCACCACTACAATTTCTACCAGAAGGATACACTAGTAGGACGGGCCTCTTTCATCACTCATCTTTGGACACAAGAGACGCCAGGCAATCTTCAGAGCTGATGCTGGCTTTCTTTCTCGGGAGGGTTTTGTTGACGTTGAACTGAGCCCCCTCCCCCCACCCCCCGGTTCCCTACGTCCCTTTCTTTTACCCCACTCCCTGCACCGAGCCCCATCCAGTCCATCTTCCCGTGGACTAGAAGAGTATATTCTATTGTAGCGAGCGTGAAATAAAAACCGACAAGGTAGGTCTTCATATAGCAAAACGCCGATACACCGCCGCAATGCCTTTTTTCCCCCCTTGTTTTTCTTCATCTTTACTGAATATTGGCTTTGTTTGCGTTTCTTGCGGGCCAGTTTTGGACATTGTTCTGTTACGCCCCTCGCCTCCCCCCCACCCCAAGAGAAGAAAAGAGCCCCCATGCTCTTCTTTCCCAAACGTTGTTCATATCGTCGTCATTACGAGGTAGATGTATGAGCCCCTTCCCTCGTCCTCCTCCTTGTGTTGTGTGTCGTAGCGAGTCCATAGCAGACAAATTCCCATTCATATCGGACACCAGGTCATCAGTGAATATCGAGTACAGCCTTTGAAGCCTTCCCAGAGAAAGAAACGAGAAGAGAGACATAAAAAAGGGGGCTGTTTAAAGAGTTTGGTGAGAAAACGAAGAAGAAACGAAAAGCGAGTGGATGGTATTACAATCCGGCGTCCAAAGATTAAGAGAAAAGAGAGAAAGAAGAGAATATGTCATATACAAAAGATGTCCGGACTCGAAGAAGGCGTGCAGCAGGACATCAGAGCTCAGAATATCCATATTGGGGAGTCCGCGGGTTCTCTTCTTCTCTCAGTCATTCTTGGCGGTGCTATTTGCGACATGGCCGTTGGCAGTGACGTCCTCGTCGCTCTCCTCGCCGTCCTCGCGGTCATCCTTGATGATGTTGAAGAAGAGGAAGCGGTAGGCGATGCGGATGATGAAGAAGAGCCAGAAGAGGTTGAGGGCCTGCAGGGCAGACAGCAGAGCGATGGTGATGTACTGGGAGATCCAGCACTTGTACTGCTGGGTTTCCCAGTTCAGCTCAAAGGGCCCGACGGTCTTGAACTCGGTGAAGAGGGAGTAGATGATGCCCAGGTTGAGGTAGTGGCGCATGTAGATCCACACGCCCATGAAGAAGGCGAAGTAGGGGCCCTGGAGGGGGCTGTCGATGTAGTTGAGAGACTTGGAGGTCTATAGTGTCACGATGAAGAAGTGATTAGCAAGATAGTTCGGCATGCAGTACAAAAAGACAAAGGAAGAACTTACCGCGAGGAAGAAGTCACTAATGTCGTGTGTAATGTACACGGCCAATCCGATGTAGGTAAAATGGAAGCGGTAGCTGAGGCCGATAAGGGCCAGGCTGACAAGGTGGTGACCAACAAGTTCGTTGTAGTCCTTGCGCGGGGCCTCGAGGCCGAGGACCATGACCATGAGCTGCTGGAGCCAGTAGGCGGCCTGGAACAGGTAGTAGAACTTGAACATGGCCTCGTGGGTCATGTGGGGGAAGCCGGCGTACATGCCGGTGGTGTTGAAGTACCAGACGGGGGTGTGGCTCATGATGTACATGCCCCAGGGCCCGGTGGAGCCAAAGTAGACGGCGGTGTACATCTGCTCCATGAAGCGCATCTGCTTGCCCTTGGAGCGGAGGCCGGCGAAGCGGGCCAGGGGCCGCAGCAGCTCCTGCATGATGAACTCGCGGGTGAAGGACAGGACGATGGCGTAGAAGATGACAAAAGCAATGTCCCATAGACCCTTGCCGTACTGCGCCGGGGCGTCCGGGGCGGCGTCGGCCGCGGGGGCCAGCTTGTAGCTGAGGAAGATGAAGTGGGAGACGGGGTTGGACTCGGTGGGGTGTATGGCGTAGAGGCTGGCGAAGACGAAGAGCAGCAGGGCGGGGAGGGCCCAGGTGTGCTTGACGACGTAATTGGTGGCCCTCTGCGCCAGGCCGCGTGCCTTGCGTCGCTTGGACTGGCGTTTCGAGGCCGCGGGGCCATCTTTCGAGTCGGTTCGCTAAAGAGGGGAGGCAAGAGAGAAGGAGTTAGCGATCGTGGCCACTAAGAAGGGGAAGGGGGGGGGGGGAGAGAAAACAGGGAGAGTATTAGGTTTATGATGAACCCCATGGAAAAAAAGAAAAAAAGAAGGAAAGCAAAAAGACATACTCTTCCACTGGCAGCGTTCAGGTGGGCGAACGAGGTCGCCAGCGACGGGGCGCCGGTGTCACCCCTGAGAAGCTCCGCCTGTATGGCGCTCGACTTCCTCCTGCGCTTGGCCGAGCTGGCGGTGGCATCTTGTGAAGAGGAGAAGTGATCGTTTGTGTTGAGCAGTGGGAAGGGTTCTGAGTCGGCCATGATGGGCGTCTTTCTTGTCTCTCCAAGGTGTCGAAAACCGAGACACGGGGGCGGAAGAGGACTTGTGGTTGGGAGAGAGGAGGAGGAAGATGGATGTTTCACTCCTTTGGAATGCTATCCTTTTTCTTCTTCTTTCTCTTTCCGTCTTTTGAAGCCAAGGTTCTCTCGGTCCTGTCGCTTGCACGGTTATCGACCGAGAAGAACAGGGGAGAAAAAAAAGGAGCGATAGTCAGAAGAAGAGGAGGGGGAGAAAGAGATGGTTAGTCAGGTTGGGTGAGGGCAGAGAAAGAGGTGGTGGTGGTGGTCTCTGGTTGGTGGTGCACCGCCAAATGATAAAATTTCGCGGACATTAGAAAGGGGACCGGGGGTAGATGGCATAGTACTTGCTGTACTTGAACGGCAAGGGTCCCAGGGGTTTTTCGCCGCGGCGGGCTAGTACGATAGTACACCACGGTAGTGCTTTTATCACATAGTATGGTAGTACTGCTAGTAGTATGGCCTGTATGAACTATGGAGACATGTGGAGGTAGGTGGTGCGGTGGATGGGTTGAGTAAAGCCAAAAGTGGTGGCACGGCAGAGAGATGATCACCCACAACCTCTCTCAGATAACTCTTGTGCCTGTGGTGAGGATCAAAAAAAGAAGTTCAGAATCGACATTCAGGAGGGTTAGAGGGGGTTGGTGGGTGGTTTGGCATTGGGTACAGTAACCCTCCACATGACAAAAAATTTGGATTATAGTAGTGTTAGTAGTAGTAAAATTATGGGGGATTGCATGTGGTTATTCATGCCTATTCCAGCAAGTCTTCAACTTGTTCAATGTTCCTCCCAATTCTATCAATCTGAATTAGCGTTGGCATCTAAAGGCTACATGCTATATATTGGCTCTAAAGAATTGAAATTTCTTGACTTGAAACTGAGAGAACATGCTGAATGAGGGAAAACTTGTTTGTTGTCACATGCTGAGAACTGCTCGACCCTTCGGCCGCCCATGATCGGTCCCCCCTTATTTCCTCCTGACCTCCCTTATCGATAACATCTTGGCATACATAGTACAAATATATTCTGTACACCCTACAACAAGGACAATAAGTACATACATACTTGAGTACGTATACAGTAGGAGTACCTGTGTACCACATCAGTACATTCAGTACTGAGTAGCAAACCCTCTGCCTCGGCGCGCATGACGCCATCTCCCCTCGATCCACACTCCCTCCCTCCCTCTCCAGCGGGAATCGCCGGCTCCAGACAAGCCATATGCAGGTTTCTTTTCTTCTTCCCAGACCCGATCCTTAGACGGAAGAGGAGACCCCCAGGGAAAAAGTTTGAAGAGGGAAAAAAAAAAAAAAAAAAAAAAAAAAGGCCACCCGCACCGCCAGACCCGGTGACATCTCACAAGCGCCGGCATGCCCGGGCTGTCCTCTACCATCGGGCCTCTGCTAAATCCCGGCCGGTCCGTCCCCCCTGAACGGAACAGGGAAAGACAAAAGGTTTCTTTCCTCTCCCAACCCCCGCTCTCTATGTGGGCCGCTGCCTCTCGATCAAATCCCGTCCTGTCCGTGATCTGGTCTGCTTTCCATTACACTGGGCCCCTTGCCCTGCTTCTGGTTCTGATAGGATTTGAATGGGATGTACATGAACATCAAATCGAGTCCCTCCTTGTTCGTCTCGGACGGTCTCGGGGAGAAGAAGAAGAAGAACAAAAAAGACGACCGAGTCCTGAACTTTGCATGATAGTCTACAGAAGACCTCCGTGAAGGAGGGCTTATTTATCACCCTCATGTCAATGCATTGCCGCACCTGGCGCCAGAGGAGAAGACAGGAGGGTTTCTCTCAAGGCTGCGAGTTGTTGGAATAGAAAGCGAGTCTCAGAGGGATCTATATAAGTACTTATCATCACTTTGTCGTAGTTCAATGTGGCTAGAGGGCGTCATTCAAGGTTTTGTAAACATCATTGTGAGCATTCCGTCTCAGGACACTCTATCTCTGCCCATGTACAGATTGCTATGGTAACCCCCCGTCTCGCTTGTCCTCCGTTGGCGGGCGCTCCTGGGTATCCGAGCCTCTTACATAAAAGAAATAATATATAGAGGAGACCTCGGTTGTCGTAGCCAAAAGGCAGTAGTAGTAAATGGTATATAGAAAGACCCCTCCTCAGCTGAGGACTTCACTTTTTGTCCACCGCCTTCCCGGAAAAGGGTCCACCGCCGCTCCAAATGCACCGTGTGGGAAGGGAAGAGAGAAAAAGCAAGAAAAAAGGGATCAAGAGACGCCCCAACACCATGCGCTATAGTAGAGCCTAGAAAGACAGAAAAATCCCGAAGCTAACCATCCCACGTGCCAATACAAGTTCAAAAATCCTCGGTTTTAGATTGGAGGAGGCCTCGCGCTCGAGGTTGGCCCCTGAATGGACCTAGCCGGCGCCGTCTCAGACTCGAGCCCTGACACTGGCATGGGCCGAGCTAGGTTTGTCATCTCCAGGCTGTTTGCGCCAGAGGAGTTCTGTGATGACGATGCGATCGGTGTGTTATCCGATGCTTGGCTGTTGCTCCGCCATAACCGCGGCGAGACAAATGTCGAGCCGACCGCCGCCGCCGCCCTTGCGGTGGTGGTGTTATTGTTGTTATTAATGTTGACGGAAGGTGCCTGGGCGTGTCGCAATGATGGATTTGGCGTCATGGCTCCATTTACCTGTTGTTGTTGATATTGTTCTGCTGCCTGCTCCTGCCGAAGCTGCTGTAGCGCAGCACCCCTTCGCGGTGGTGCTGGAATCACTCTCACGGGCAGGGCTTTCGTGTCAACCTCGGGCCTCATCCGCTCCCGCAGCCTCTCTGCTCGGGTCACGGCAAAGTCTTCGAAGCGTGACTTGAAGTTGCGGCGGCCGCTGCTGTCTTGTGAGCTCGGCTCGCTCGCTTTGTGGGATGCCTCCGTCGAGGTCATGTTTCCCCTGGACGGCATGCGGAACAGCTGTGTGGCCTGGCTCAAGCCCCGCAACCTGCTACCGCTCTGCGTCGAGGTGTTGGTGGTGTGAGCTGCGGTCTGCCCGGCGGCCTGGCCAGCAGCAACTTGGCTGGCAGACTGGCTGGGTGTGACTGAAGGCTCTGGGGTGATGGCCAGGGCCCTGTCGACGACCGCATCCGTACGATCTTCGGCACTGTTCCGTCTCGACTGCGGTGCCAGAGGTTCGTCCACCTCGGGAACGGCGGCAGGCAGGGCTCCGATTGTGGAGTCTGGGCGAGCATCGGGTGCCGCTCCAGTGGTTGTGTCGGCCATTGGTTGGTAGTGCACCGCATAGACGGTGCTGGCCGCACTTGCCGTGTCGGTCCTAGACACTGGTGTCGCAGCCGGTGGCGGTCTTGTCGGCCACAGTGGCGGCTGCAGAAACCGAATTGTGCCGCTCCTCTCGCCCCTGTCGCCCCTGGCAGCCCCGCGCGTCCCAGCTTCAGCACCCGCTCCGTCGTCGCGAGGCCTGGACCTCGACCTCTGCCGGTATCGAGAGGCTATCGACGACACCAATGGCCAAGGGCCGCTCTTCCCATCCGAGGAGGTCGGGGCGGCCCTCGCCCTGGTCGCATGACCGCTCTCTCCGCCGTCGTCGTCATCGTCGTCTCGCTTCGTGTTCCTCCTTTTTCGCGGCCACGAGTATTCCGACACTGACATGCCCAGCATCTCGTCCCCGTCAAACACCTCTCGGCCCAGGATGCCGTCCTTCTTCTCTTCTCTTTCTAGTGCCTCGATTCGTTCCACCCACTCCCACACTATGGTGCTGGCTGCCGCACCCCCAACCCAGCGCACATAATCACCCCAGCTGGTAAAGTCCGGCTTGCAGATATCCAAGATGAAGAACACGATCGGGACCAGGACTGCCGTGACCGAGAGCAAGGCCACAAGTCCGATGTTGCGCATCTGCGGGTGGTAGTACGCGTAGTGTTTCTTCATGAAGGAGTAGTAGACAACCCAGGCGGCGTAGAGAACCCCAAGCGAGAGCTGAAAGAGATAACTGAGCGCGGGGATGGCGTCGGTGAAGGAGCGAGGGCGTGTAGCGCCTGCGGTCGTGTACATGAAACTGTTGAGGGAGTCGAAGAGGACACCAAAGGCGATCAATGCAAAGGCAGTCCACTTGATGATGATCTTCTCCCGCTGCCGGGGGAAGAGTCTGATGAGGGTCTGGGCCTGTGCGAGCCACAGGAAGGCCTCGGATATGATCTTGATGACCTTGAGCTCCGTGCTCCCCAGCACGTCGGCCTGCATCACCGAGGCGTTCTGGTATCCACCAGCATACTGCTGCTCGGCGACTCGGAAGGTGTCGACCGTCGCGATGGTCATGGACACGGCAACAAAAGTAGCGGCCATCTTCTGCAGCCAGGGACGGCCTCCGATATTCTGGCCGCCTGTCCCACCACTCGTGAAGCCCCCCCTTCCGAGCACGACCACACCGCCGTCAAGAAACGATCGTGGCGTGATGAGCAACATGATAACCAGCGTGTACGCGATAACGGTGGTCGCGGCGAGGGCATAGCATTGAGGAAAGGTCGAGGCGTAAAAAGGATCTCGAACCTCAAAGGCTGAGGTGCTGTCGCTGGCCTTCTCTTGGACTTCTAATATGCCCGTGTTGGCAACGGCGACAGGTAGTGATGATTGGGTGCATTCTGGGGTGAAGACGGCAGCCTGGGTAAGGGTGATGGTGCCTCTCCCCGCGATGTCGAGTACACCTCCTGCTGGCAGGCTGACAGCCGAACAATCAGATGCCAGCGATGATGCTGCCGCCGCCGCCGACGTAACAGACGCCAGGATGAACAGACGCAGGTCCATGGCTGGCAACGGGTCCCGGGCGGGTCGCGGCCAGCCGCTGGCAGAATCTCTACTGGGCAATCGCCTCCGGCAAAACAAAAATATTGCCTACCTCGGACACGCCATCCGTGAGGGCTTTCCCAGCTGATGATGCGGCCAATCGCGGCGGGAATGGAAATGATTGAGACGGAGTGATGTCGGTGATCGTGGGTATAATCGTTGTCGTCGGTCTTCGTTGTCGTACAGGTTGTCAGTATCGTCGGGTTCGTCACTGTGCCACCTCGCCCATGCAGCAAAAACGCTCGTGACCTCTGGCGCTGAGCTTTTCTTCTTCTCTTCTTTTTCCCCTTCTCCTGATCTCGTCTCTTGATCCACAAAAGTCGTCGTCTCCAATCACAAGAGTTTGCGCGCGATGTCGGAGCGTCGGTCGGATATTGTCAATTGTCCAAAGGAGAGGATTGAGGCGGATGTGTCCTGCAACACGGGAGGAGGGATGAATGAGGGAAAGGGCTGGGCGCCGAGAAAATCCGGGGTGTGTGCAGTCGAGGGATGATCGGGAGAGATGGGCGGGATGCAAGAGTGTTGTGCGTTAGAAAGTAAAGTGACGCTGGAGACAAGGAACGAGGATGAGGACGAGTCAAGGGGAACCGGGTATCTCTGGACAAAAGTGCCTGGCCGGATCTGTATCTGTCTGTCTCGAAAGCGTTTTACCCTTGGGAGGTATTTGGAGTCGGGGCTCAGACCGGGAGCAGCCAAGGAGAGAGTGAGGGACAGAGAAGAGACATGGAGACTTGGGCGGACTCGGCCTGGAGATGACAGAGCGGCAGTGGGGCTCAGGACTGGCTGGGGGACGTGGAAAAGATGAAGACTCTGGTACATGGTGTAAGACGGCAGGGACGGGCGATTAAGGGATGAGGCAAGGCAGGCAGGCACTGTGCGCATTGTCCAACTAACCCTTTTCCTCTCTCTCTCTCGTCTACATACTATCGTATGTCCCTCCTGCCATTTTGACAAGCAGCCCACCCCCCTCTCGCCCAACCAGACCCCTCAACGCCCTCCTCCCCCTTATCCACCTGGAGACGTATGCGCCCCACCATCCCAGCCAGAAGTAGAATGGGCGCTGAATGGCTGGTAGTCTCACATGCTCACAACGTCTGAGGAGAGCAGAGACTCCGCAAGAATCTATCTCTTCCAGCGCCGAGGTTCTTTGACCGTCGTACAGAATTCTATCTTGCAACATGGAACGAAAAGTAGTGCATCGTAGTCGCCGAACAAGTCAATGTATGTTGGGCCGTTTGACGAATTGAGACACTAGGTTGTAGGCTGTAACGGCTTCTGCGTGGGGGCTACCACAGAGTTGGGATGGGCCCGGCGCTCAGGCTTATAAGGGAACTAGGGCGAGAACTGGAAGAGCCCAAATCCGTGCCCTGTACCTTACCAGAACAGTACATCAAACCGCTGTGCCAGCGCTGGTGCTGGGCCAGAGCACAGTTAGCGCCTCAGCCTGTTCACACGGTTGTGCGTGTGTTTCTTGCTTTCCAAATAAGGTTTATCTCGTGGCGATGCACATATGTGGGTGGCATTCAGGTGCATAGCCAGCCCGCTCCTCATGTCGTACAGATCATGTCGTCTCATTTATGACAGATTACCACTAATGCTGCCGGCAAAGGTTAAAGAAGAAGAATGTTGCTCCAATGACCTTCACAGACAGGCGAGTGCCAAAATGGCTCTGAGTTAACAGGCGTTCTGAATACGAGAGTGAAAAGCCAGGGAAAAGAGAGAAGGAAAGAAAAAGGACTATCGCGCCGTGCGGACCGCATACATAGTACGCACTTTAGTAGTGTGCATTCAAGAACCAGTCCAAGTTCAGATTTCCCCGTGGGGCGCAGTTTCTGCATATTCCCTTCCTACTTTGGTATGGACGATGATCGAGACGTAGTGGCGCGCGTTGGTTCTGGCCATCCTCTTCCGCTTGGCAGTGCGGAGGGACATGCCGACCCGACACCTCGCAGCCCCCATCCGAGGGCTCTCTCCACAAGCTGTTGCTGCTGCTGATGGTGATCATGAAGGGTGGTCCCTCGTGTCGAAGGGGGGCGATTGACTTGGCGAGACATTCCATTCTGCTGCTGGTTGGGCTTCTCAGGGATTACACAGAGCCCGAATCATGGCCATCACAACCCACAGCCACAAAAACACGTTCGTCACGTCTAAAGGCTCTTGCGCTCTGTTCCAGAAAAATAAAAAATAAAAATCAATATCACACGGCAATCTAAATTTCGACCAAGCTTGCTCAGGGCATGCCCGCCTCGCCGGAAGCCTAAGGGCCCTGTGGGTTGCAGCCAGAAAAAGCCCGTCGATGCAAGATCGGCCCACTAGCCCAAAACCTTAATCTTCCTCCCGGGATAGACAAAATCCGGACCTCTTGGCCCCTGGGTATGCGGTACGTACTATGCTGTACCGTACCACACGTACTACTCGACTGGATTATGCCGCATGATCTGCCTGGAGCGCACCACACTATGGTGCTATCACAGTTAGTAAGAATGTACCATAGAATTCACAGTACTCTGGTACCATCCCCTTTAGCTCCCCGGCTCTCGACGCTCCACCTCCGGATCAGCATGCGCGCGCGCGCGCGCTGTGTCTGCTTTAATCTCCAGAACTCGACGCATGAATGCCTCATATCTTCCTTCCTGGTCACTGAAAAAGGAGGTCAGGTTTTAGTTATTGCGATTTCTGTCACTGATCTCGTCTTTGGGCGATGGTCCTGTTACCAAGCACAAAGATAATGATTCAAAAGAATCCAGAGAAGAAGGATTCAGCCAAGCACCGTTGACCAAAGCTGACAGCGCACATCTCCCGCTTATGCATTGTGCCACGTTTCTATCCTCGTCACCTTGGCAGCGCTTGCGGAGAGGATGTCAACCAGCAGGGTCTTTCTCCTACCTTGTTTCTTGGCAGCCCACCGAACAAGCTTCTCTCAGGCCTACAGGCGGGAGTCCGGGCCTTTGGATAAAGGTGTTCAGTCGCGTGCCTCAACAAAAGGATCCGACTGCTGGAAGCTCAGGCCTTTCAAGAGCGCCAACATGCTGCAGCGCCGAAGGAAAACTGGACCCCCTGTTAGACCAGAGCACATTGATTTCCATCAGCTCCGAGAGACTCTCTCGATTTGGTGTCATCGTCATCAGCCTCTCTGACTTGGACGAGGGATTTCCCCCATCGAGGGAAACGCCATCACTCAAGTGAAGTGATTGGGCGTTGCAGCCGCATAATGAGGAACCAGCTGCTGTCTACAAAGTCACAGCGTCGAGAGGAGATTCGGAAAGCCTTATGTACTGCCGTGTTGAGAAAATCGGATTGGGACCGTCTTACCAATGGTTTGTTGGATGTTCAGCCCCGAATGAGTGATCTCGAAGCATAACTGATGCTGCTCAGGTGGCACCGATGAGGCTGGGGGAGGAGAGCTAGAGGCTCGTCTCATGTCATTGTCATATGCCCCCCCCCCCCCCCACCGATATCATGATTGCGTTGCCCGCGACGGATTCCTCGGCATTGGGGCCATGAGAAATGGGAGAAGAATTGTGCAAGGAATCTGAATATTCAAAAGATACCTTTTGCAATCTTCATCATCAGCTCAAAAACCCGCACGAGGGAAGAAGTTACCGCAGGCCCCTAGACCAGGCGAGTAACCTCGCAATCACCACCTGGCGGAGTATTCATATTGCGAAGCTCTCATCTGTTTCAGCCTCAGCGTAAGGCTCAGAGGCTACTTGACGTTTCTCCCCTCCTCTCCTTCTATCGTTCATACACATCACTATCATGCTGTTGCCAAAAGTTTTCGATCAGCATGTATAAAGCTCCTCGCGTACCGGCAGTGAGAGCTGGGCCACTTTACTTGTGTGTCTACTAGGATTTGTTCACGAACTGGGAAGTGGAACAGGAGAGAGCGACGCACAGTCGTCACATAATCTCCTTGCGGGATGATGGAAGGGCAAAGTAGCACTGGAGATCTTTGCGGCTTACCCAGCGCCAGGAATTCATGGGGTATGCGCCGAGTAGCATCATCACGCACGGAGGTAACGATGAGGAACTGGATTCTTGAATACGCCCTCGACATGGTATGCGCTCGTCGACTCCATCTAGCACGACCACCGTGCCGTGATCAGGAACTTTGGTCTACAATTCGGCGGCAAAAGCTGTAGGTCATCCCTGCAGACAAATATGCACCGCCAAGAGAGTCTTCTGAGATCACAGATAACTCACACCGAGGCTATGAGGCTACAAGAGTGCTGCAGGAGCGGAAATTAGAGTTAGGCCTCATGAAGGTTAAGCTCTGATAGGACCCTATGCAGGTTGAGATCAGCACTGTCACTAGACATCCCTGAAGCAATGAGAATGCCGCTCGAGTTCGTCGACGGTCAAGGACGTGGTACCGGGCCAAGTAAGTTTCCAGCAGCCGCCTCGCAAGAGAAACGTGGCAAATTGCTCCCTGCACCACGCGGCCGTCTGGTAGCACATGAGCACCGTCAGACTTGTACTGGTTAGAGCAAAGTGCCCTTGTCGGAATCAACAATATGAAAGGTTGGTTACCTCCTTCTAGGTACGGCCGGCAGCCGCAGAACACGGTCTCGGACGTTGACACTCTCGTCTCCCTGGAGCAAGCATTGAGCTTGCAGAGCAGCCGCCTAAGGCTTCGGCGCCCGGCAGCCCTCTCTTTTTCTAGTTACGACATGAGGACCATGAAATGCCATAAATGGATATGAAAGACGGTGACCCCTTCGAGACTGGTCAACGAGCCTCAGGGTCCTGTTATTGTATAATTTTCACGCCTTACAGTATATTGTTGGGGAGGAGTCTGAGAGTACATCTACCAAGATGAAGGGTTAGATTTTAGTTATTAGAAGATCAACTTCACGGCCTTTTTGTGTAGCTGTGGTGGGCGTGGAACATCGCAGCCTGGT